GGGAAAGAGAGATGGATCTCACCACTCCATGGAGCTTGAATGGATGAGAATTCCCCAGGTGGTGTTGGTGGGTGAGGCTCTGGAGGGCTGAAGACAAGAAAAGCACCCAGCACAATCAGTTAGGAAAAGATGACGTCTCCCTTGGTACTGATGCAGAATTTGGATCCAAGCATCAGGTCATTTTACTTGAGCATGCGTAGGAGTTTTTGTAGGAAAAGAACAGTGGTTGAAAGGAGAACACTAGATTTGTTTATGGGTAAACTGATGATTTAAAGAAGTGTATCAAAGTTGTTTTATTCAGGCTATCCAATAAGAACTGCTCTTTGGCTAAGGATGGTGTTCCTTTGAGGGAGCTCTTAATACAATTAGGCAGCTTAAGTATTTTGGGTACCAATAAAGGATTTCTTACTGGAATTGGTCTCATAATTACTTCTCTGGGTGTGGAAAGGCATGGGTTCATTACAATCTAGAGCAGAGTTTTCCCATCAGGCAATGCTTTCCTGCTTTTTGGGGTCCAAGAGTACAGTCTGGTTCTTTCCTTGGATTTTCTGTTACCCATTCTGCTAATGGAGATGCCTTTCTTTTCCATCTTTGATGCAAAGGAAGCTAGGGGAGTTTCCAGAGAGGTGTGGGTGTGTCTTCCCCTGCCTTGGCATTGCTTTTTGTAAGTCTTTCTTGTGATCAGCTTAGTTGCAGGCAGAGATGAGGGAGGGGGAAGGTCTTTTTGTGAGTCAGACAGGCTGGGTATTATTCCCTTGTTCCTCAAGAACACAGAGCTGGTAAGTAACAATGGTACTGCAACCTTTGGCAAAAAATAGTACCAAGTTTAGTATAAAGGCTCTATTGAGTTATAAATCAATGTTTTAATAGTTATCCGTGAAAATAATATAAATAAATAAAACCTACAAATAGAAAATATGATTAGATTACTTAAATCAAGATTTCTTGTTTGCTGATTTAAATCATGATTAAAATTGGTGATTTAAACCACTTCAGTTTAAATCATTCCACCATTTACTACTCTCCCTCCTCCAAACCCTTAAAGGAAAAATATTGTTAATAAAAGTTGCTTTTTGTGTTTCTGTGGGCTTCTTTAGGTAAAATTGATGGCATCCTCTAAACATATCACATTTTTATGCTTGATCATTTTACAGGAAATGAGACAAAAAAGTCCTTTTAAATGTTTGCAGGTTGTAGTTGATTTACAATTCTTAAATATATTACAGTGTACCAAGTCCAAGTTTGTAGTTGATGAAATTTCTTTTCCCAACAGATCAGAAAGCCTACACGCTCATATATTATACATGTGCCTAAAAAGATATTTGCAACATTCTCTTTGTTCTCCACCCTCACTGTAGTTTATTCTCTCTTAAAACAGGATAGTTCTACTCAATCTATGATTTTTCTTAGTTTGTCTTTAATGCTTATAATAAAAAGTACAGCTCTATTTGGAATTCTTGTTTTTAATTTCAACTAGGTTACTTGTGCTTGCCTTAGAATTATATAATCATACGATTGGAAGGGATCTTGAGAGGTCTTCTAGTCCAGTCCCTTGCTCTCAAGACAGGACTAAGTATTATCTACTATCCATGACAGGTGTTTTTCTAACTTCCTCTTAAAAATCTCCAATAACAGTTGGAATCATAGTTACCAGAGTGTGACTAACCTCCATAGGCAATATATTCCAGCGTTTAACTACGCTAAAAGTTGGGAACTTTTCCGGATGTCTAGCCTAAGCAGCCCTTGCTGCAATTGAAGCCTTTTACTTCTTGTCCTTTCCTTGGAAGTTAACAAAAATATTTTTTCTCCTTCTCCTTGCAACAGCCTTTTAAGTACTTGGAAACTGTTATCATGTCCCCTCTCAGTCTTCTTTTTTCCAGACTAAACAAACCCAATTTTTTTCAGTCTTCCCTCATCATTTTTGTTGCTCTTCTCTGGACTTTCTCCAGTTTTCTGAAATGTGGTGCCCAGAACTGGACATGATAATTCAGTTGAGTCTTAATCAACACAGAGTAGAGTGGAAAAGTGCTAGTGATACATTCCAGAATGATGATGTTGGGTTTTTTGTTTTGCTTTTTTTGCAACAGTGTTACACTGTTGACTCATTTAGTTGTGGTCCATTATGCCCCCTAGATTCCTTTCTGAAGTACTCCTTTGGCAGTCATTTCACATTTTGTACATGTACAGCTGATAGTTCCTTCCTAAGCAGAGTACTTTGTATTTGTCCTTATTGAATTTCATCCTATTTACTTGAGACCATTTTCCAGTTTCTTCAGATAATTTTGAATTTTAATCATTGCCTCCAAAGCAACCCTTCCAAGTTTTGTGTCATCCACAAACTTATAAATGTACTCTCTATGCCATTATCTAAATAACTGATGAAGGTATTGAACGGAATTGTACTCAGAACTGATCCCTATGGGACCCCATTTGATATGCCCCTCCAGCTTGACTGTTAACCACTGTTAACTACTATCCAGGAACGGTTTTCCAACCAATTATACACCTACCTTAGGGTACATAAGAAAATAAGAATGGCCATATTGGGTCACATCAAAAGTCCATCTCGCCCAGTATCCTGTCTGCCGACAGTGGCCAGTGCCAGATGCCCCAGAGGGAGTGAACAGAACAGATAATCAAGTGATCCCTCTCCTGTCACCCATTTCCAGCTTCTGACAAACATTATAGCCACTTTGATCCTTTTATCTGCATAGGGCCTTGATCTTTTTATCTGCATATTACTCTCAACTGCCAGTGAAGTCAATGTCTATGCACCTGTCTGTGTACCACTTTTGCCAATTAATTCTAAGATCACATCTTTAATTAAACTGGTGCAATTTGTATTGTTTTTATTTAGTATACATTGATATTTGAGTTTCTATAACAATAAATAGACATTAAGTGAATCACTGTAAAATTAGTCCAATAAATTCATAAACATATCTTATTTTGTACGGCGTTAAATCTTTCATCTTCTGACAGTTTAAACTTTTCTTTTTCTTTCAACTAAGGAAATGCTACTTCACCACAAGTACAAAGACCTTCTTTCATGGACTACTTTGATAAACAAGATTCCAAAAATAAAAGCCATGAAAACTGCAATCAGAACATGCATGAACCCTACCACATATCTAAAAATGTTTTCCCTGATAACTGGAAAGTCCCGCAAGATGGAGATTTTGATTTTGTAAGTACATTTACAGTGTTACTCTTCTAATATTTACTTCCTTGCATGCTGTTTGTTTTATTTGTGCTAAAATTATTGAATCCTTTCTATAGCTTTCTAGCAGTAAAAACAAAATAACTCATCTTTCAAGGATACCTTCCAGGTATTTAATAGTAAAGCCATGTTCTAGTTGTTATACTAACACAATAGCCTAACGCAGAACATGACTTCTAAAAGAGTACGTCTACGCTCATTTCTAGTTCGGAATGAGGAGTAACGTTAGTTCGGACTAAGGGCTTTAGTCCGAACTAACGTGTCCCGGCGCGCACTTCCTGGTTCAAATCAGCTGTGATTCGAACTAATGCGCCGGCGAGATCATGTTAATGAAGCGCGGGATATTTAAATCCCCGCTTCATTAACTACTTCGGTCGTCTCCATTTGCATCCCTACTCCAAACTAGGGATGCAGTGAAGACGTACCCCAAGAGAGTGGAAGATTGGCGTGAATGTATTTTTGGTGCTTTTCAAATTTGTATTGTAGTTTATCAAACTACTTGTGTGACCTAGATTATTAAAGCTTTCAAATATGAGTATAATATAAGTGGGCTTTTTGTATTGGTATCTCAAGTGAGACAAATAGAAAGCAATTGTGGGCTTTTTGCATTGGTATCTCAAGTGAGACAAATAGAAAGCAATTAATAAGAATTTTAAACTAGGCAGAGCAATTTACATATCTCCTGAAGAGATTGAATAAAGATCACTTAATGTATCTTTTGAACCTGTTGATATAATTGTATTAAAATTCCTGTGATTTCTGGAAAAATTATTGCATCTTTAGAAATAATATGCTAATCTATTTGCCCTCTGTTACACCAGTTTGAATGTTTTTTAATTAAAAAATGTTTGGGAGTGGGGGAGGATAGACAGCAATGCAAAATATGGTAAAGACAAAAATAATCTGTTTTTAAGCAATCAGTGAAGCTATATGGCTTTAAAATATTTTTTTTTCAAAATAAACTGATTAGACTGATTTGGATATGTAATATATAGGTGTAACAGGTTTTTTTCTCTCTTTTATATTTTCTAACTTTTAAAGAAAGGAATTTAACATATCTATTGTAGCTTTAATATGTTCTTTCCTTCACTGCACTGCAGTACCTAAATTATACCTTCACAAAGAGAAAAACCACTGCATTTAATTTTAGTTGGCAGCTGTAAGTATGAGGGTTTTTTTTTTCAGTTTTCTGTCTTTCTAAATAAGCTGACTCTAAAATTTAAAATACTGTGCTGTGGCAAATGAAGCAGCACAGTAGTATGCAATGTTATAGGAGTAAGTGCTGTAAGTTTTCGAATAAGTACATTACTTTTTTCTAAACTACAAAGATACAATAGCCAGCATCTTCAAAATCAACCAGTGAAATAACTTAGTACATTATTTGTTGGAAAATAACAATATCTAAATGAGGTTTATTATTGTGGTAATAACATTTCTTTAGAACTGTTTTTAAAACTTTTAGTTGTTATAGATTAGCTGATAATTACAAATATAATGAACAGATTTGTAAATTCTAAGGTCCTGATCCTGTAAACATTTATCCACAAGGAAATTATGCACACAAATAGTTCAATTGAACTCAGTGAGACTACTAACATGCATCAAGTTGCTTGCTATGGGTAAGTGTTTGCAAGATCAAAGTCTAAATAATGTATAATCTTTAGCAAGAAATTATATACTGATTTACTGTTAACTAAAGCACTGAAGAGTTTTCATTTTTTTAAAAAATTGAACTGAAATTATTTTATAATAAATAAATATACAAAATTATTTTAGATTTAAGATTATTAAGAGAATGAAGAGTACCCCCCAAAATTACAGACAACACATTAAAAGTTATCTGAAGTGGTAGTGCTGTTTTTCAAATCTGTTAAAACTTAATATGTTTTTACACAATACTAATTTGTGAGAGACAGGTTGGATCCAATGTATTTTACTAGGCTAACTGCAGTAGATGAAAGAGACAAGGCTTTTGAGTTCTGGCATGTGTCTACAACAATATTAATTCATAGCATTTATTGCAAAACTATTATTGAGGTTAAGATTATTTTAAAAAAGGATAGGTAATTTATATGGATAAAATAATAAACGTATAAGGGTACGTCTACATTACAAAGTTAATTCGAAATAACAGCCGTTATTTTGAATTAACTTCAATATCATCTACACATGCAAACCGCTATTTCAAATTTAATTCGAAATAGCGGAGCGCTTATTTTGAATTTGGTAAACCTCATTCTATATGAGGAATAACACCAAATTTGAAATAAGTGCTGTGTAGACACTTATTTTGAATTAGGGGGCCTTCAGCCCTACCCAATTTCCCCTGGTGGCCACTCTGGGCACAGTCAGGAAAACTCTTGTCCTTCTTCCAGCCCCGGGGCCCTTAAAGGGGTAGAGTCTGGCCACTGGGCACGTGCGAGCCAGAAGCCTGCATGCAGCCAGCCAGCCCTGACAGCTCTGCACCCAGTGGCCAGACAATGAGCCAGGCAGTCAGCACCAGTCCAGTGTCCCCCGCCTAGTCGCCCAGGGGCCAGCCAGGGGCCGTAGACAGCGTGCGCCTGCCTGGACTGGTGCGGAGATCATGGACCTCATTGAGGTGTGGGGGGAGGCCTCCAATGTCCATGATCTCCGCACCAGTTGGAGGAATGCTGCCGTCTATGGCCGCATAGTGGCAACCATGGCCCACAAGGGACACAGGCACACCCAGGAGCAGGTGTGCCTGAAAATAAAGGAGCTCAGGCAGGTGTACGCCAGGGCCACCAGGGGCAGCGCAGCAGCAGGGGCTCCCACCTGCCCCTACTTCCCCGCCCTCGACCGAATCCTGGGGGGCGGGGCGGTCTGTGCCAGCCCAGGGGGCAGCAAGCCAGGAGCTGAGGGCCCTGACCCGGGCGCAGCAGAGGGACCACCACCAACTGTCCCGGCTCCAGAGTTGGCAGGGTCGTCCAGGGAGGCCATACCAGGTAAGTGCCAGCACTGTCCCCTACCCGGGGGGGGAGGGAGACCAGGGACTGCGCGCTTGGACCATGCCTCCCACGGATCACACAGCCACCTGTGCACGTGCAGGCATGTGCCGTGCCACCCTTGGGCAGGTGACTCCAGCTGCGTGCCATGCAGGGGCCGTGGCCTGATAGCCACACGTGTGTGTGAAGAGACCCGACACGCTCCCGACCTCGGGGCAGGACACAGCAGGACGCCTTCCCTTCACATGCCCCCTCTACACAGGGGAAGGGGAAATCTCCCCCCACCACAGCCACACTATACATAGCACAGAGGTCTCGGAGCAGCTCCCACTCCCAGGCAGAGCCGGACATGCTGCCCATGGTCTCTGTGCAAGCACATCGGCTCTGATGGTGCAGGGCACAGTCGCCCTCACCTCGCAGAGGGGGGCTGGGCATCATCCATTGTGTCCCCAGTGCAGTATCCACCACCTCCAAAATTGGTTTGTTTACAATTGGGCCTCCAGGATCTCTCATTTTGAAGGTAGCATGAGAAATATACTCCCAGGACAGTAGATAATCCATGGTCCCATAGCCATATCATTCTGATCAGTGACTGTCAGCCACGTGACCACTGGGCAGATTGAACAGGTTCCTCTTAGGCCTGTTTTACACTAGAACAGGCAGGTCGGCTTAAGTTATGCCATCCAACTACGCAAAATGCATATCTGGAGAGTTGGTTTCTCTGAAGCTGAGCCACCATAGCATCTACACTGTGGGAGACCAACAGGAAGCACACGCTCCCCATCAGCTTCCCTTACTCCTTGGAGGAGTACAGGAAGCTGGCGGGGGCTGCCCTCAGCTTTCGATTTTGGAGTCTACATTAGCCCTCAGGAGGTCAATCTTCTCCATAGGGTAGACATACCCTTCAAGAGATGAGCCAGAGTATTTCCAGCTCTGCAACTCTTCAAGGAACAGCTTATGTCTAAACATTAGGTATAAAACTCTAGTAATCTAGAAGTTGAAGGTATAGGTGCATGACCTGCTTCCCTACTAGAGCTATAGAAGTGAGTCTGTGAATGCAGCACATCAGTCCATCTAAGAAGATACATAAAACTTCAGATGAAGGACCAGATCCTCAATGTAAATAAGGATAACCAATTTACATGCACCAAGGATCCATCCTATAGATTCCAGGTAAAGCTCTGTTCCAGTGGAATATTCTGGCTATTGCAGACTCAGACAACTTTTACCTTTTCTCTTTGAATCATTTTCATTGTCCGGATTTCAGCTTCTTCAGTCTCTTTCTTGATTCTTGCATATTCTTCCTTCTTCAGCTATATGGCATGGAGGAGCACACACACACACACAACAAAAAAAAACACAGTTTGGCTTTTGTATTGCACCTCTTTCAAGCCTAAATGTCCAAGAGACACAGCAGAGTCCCCGGGGGCAGGTCTGGTTCCATGTTGCAGAGTGCCATGGTGTCCTGAGTGAGGGCAAGCAGAGCACTCTGAGACACAAATGCTTTGCTGTCCCTCAGCGAGGTAGACCAGCAAGCAGAGAAACCTGAGAACTGTCTGTCCGGGATGGGGGGTAGGGTCCCTTTAAGCACATACCTCGGATAGCCTGAAGCAGCAGCCCCACACACTAAGTCCGACCCTGATGCCCTGCCGGCACTGGTTCCAGCCAGCCTTACCTTCAATTCAGGGTCCACTCAATGTGGATGCGCTATTTCAAATGAGAACAACGCTATTTTGAAATAGTTTTTGTGTATAGCTGCGTTATTTTGAATTAGCTTATTTCGAATGAACTAATTCAAAATAAGTTAATTTGGAATAGCGCTGTAGTATAGACATACCCTAAATTACTTTATTTCGGATTCATGTTTTATTTTTGGAAGGGACAAAAACCTTCATAACTCAAGACATAAGCCAACCATTAACTGTCAGGCAATAATCTTCCATGGACAGGTTGTTCTGTAATTACTCACTGTGGTTTCTTTGTCTAAATTATATGGTAGTAGCT